AGCCGGTGGTGAACAAACTGGCGGACAATAGAGAGAGGAGAGTGGATGAGTTCATCGAGGGGGTGAAGGCATACTTCCGATAAGAAGAGTAAGAAATTGTTGCATTTTCAGATCCTTGTAGAGGAGGATAGTCTACCCTTTGACATGCTGTTAGCGACGAATTGGGGAGAGGCCGCCAAGGTTGATGTCAAGATGGGCGAGCGTCGAGCACGAGTGCTGGCTGCCCAGTCCCGAAGGTGGGAAAAAGAAAATTAGAGTTTTTGACGAGTGTTGAGTCCAGTCCACCCTTTCACTATGTTGCACGAGTGGCCCCATGTTAGCTAGGCACGTGGTCAAGTAGGATCTTGCTGACCAAGTCTTTGTTACATATGTTAGATCGGTTAGCGAGGAGAGTAAGGAGGAGGAGTTAGTACCGCCCCTAGTTCAAAATCTGTTAAATGAGTTTGCAGATGTGGGAGAGGCCCCAACCGGTGAAGTGGAGAGGGAGATCAAGCACCGGATCAAGATTGACCCCGGTAGCAAGACTCCCAAGGGCCCGATCTATAGGATGTCTCCCAAAGAGTTTGACGAATTGGGGTGGATTAAGCCTAGCTCCTCGCCCTACGGGGCACCAGTTCTATTCGTGCCTAAGAAAGAAGGCGACCTCCGTGTGTGCATAGACTATAGAGGACAACACTATAATTGTCAAGAATATTGAGTCGTTACCCATAACAAACAACTTGTTAGATCTGAAATCGGGTTACCACCAGATAGAGATTCAACCCAAAGATCACCACAAGACGACATTCTGGACTAGGTATGGCCATTACCAGTGCGTGGTCATCCCCTTAAGGCCCAACAACCCTGCAACATTCCAACGATGCATGAACGATATGTTTAGGGATTGGTTAGATAAATTCCTCATCGTATACTGAGATAATATATTGATCTTTAGTAAGTCTCTTGAGGAACATCAAAAGCAACTTCGACTTATCCTGAAGAAGCTTCGAGAAGCTAAGTTCAAGCTGAACCCCAAGAAGTGTGAACGGGCAAACAATGCAGTGAGACTGGAGGATTCACAAATTGCAGCAATTAGAGATTGGCCGACCCCGCACACTTATTGAACTGCGGTTGTTCCTTGGTCTAGCCAATTACTAGCAGAAGTTTGTGTGAAACTTCACTACAATAGCTGCACTATTGTGCAAACTATTACGAAAGGAAGCTGTTTGGAAATGGGACCAGGGCTGTGCAGGCACCTGGGCAGTTGGACCGGACCGGATCCAACTGGGCAGGTTGGAACCAAAAGTGGGTCTTTTTCTTCTTTTTTTTTTCGAAAACATGGTTGGA